ACACACAAAAAAGTTCCTGTCACACATTTATGGCAGCTGTAGGCCAGGACTTCCATGGCCCTGTATGTGGCTATGAAGTACCTCACTGAGCTAACTCGATCATATCAATTACTGGTTCCAGTCCACCGTGAACTGTTGACAATGGCATTATGCTCCATAGCTAAGGCATGTGATAGCATGAGCATATTGGGCAAGGATCTTTGAAAGAGCTATACCCCTAATGGGAAAAAAACAGTGTGCATATTGTTAAGATACCATCATACTAACACAAGAATTTACCTCATTAATTGAACTGTACAAGTTTCTCTCACTCTTAAGCTGAAAGAATAGATAGCTAGCATATGCCACGAGCATTATGCAACTGCTAAATCTGGAAAGAGCTAACTCTGACTTTCCAAAGTGGACCTCTGTGCGAGTGAAGTGTAGCACTGCAGGAAACAATAAGCCCATCACAGCCATCAACAATAACCCTGAGCTGACAATAGCACTTGCCTGCAATATATCAATGTGTCTTATGGCTTCTATACAAGAGCATTGAAATTGTAAATGAAAAGGAAATGGCTACAATTTATTAATTTGTGTGAACATCTTCTACCTTGTCAAAAACCTGAACTTTTTTGTGATGCGTAATCCCACCACAGAAGAAGGCACATCCAAGAACTAGCAGCATATTTGATAAAATGGAACCCAACAATGATTGCTTAACAACCCTCATCATATCATTTTTCAGTGCATATATTGAAATTATCATTTCAGTAGCATTGCCAAAAGTGGCATTCAGAAGGCCGCCAACTACACATCAAAAGAAAATATGTACCTGTGAGGCAGACTACTTAAATAGACCTATGCCTGACATGTAAAACAATAATAGGCACACAAATATGAATGGTAACATTTGAAGTTGATTCCTGATAAAATTTGGGATGAGTATGGACAACTGGATTGGGTAATAAGATACTTGGGTTGAACCACATTAAAAGATTGAATCCAATTGATTAGTTAGTTCAACTCAAGGGCTTATATACCGGGTTATTTTTCTCTTCAAGTTCCGATGTGGGATACTCTTAACACTCCCCCTCAAGTGGACAACCGGGACATTTTGAATCTAACCGGTTGACCACTTGCAAATAAACTCCCATTCCCTTGACTTTTTTTTTTGAGCGCCAACACCTAAAGGACCACGAGCCGCTGGGTATGGACTTCCAGACGTGCAATCGGGTCAAACAAGCCACAGGCCATTGGGTACATACTCCATACGGACAACTGGGCTAAACACTAACGGGCCGCTAGGAATGAACGTCTAGACGGACACCTTGACAAACGAGGTGGGCCAAAACCTGCTCCGATACCATGATAAAATTTGGAATGAGTATGGACAACTGGATTGGGTAATAAGATACTTGGGTTGAACCACATTAAAAGATTGAATCCAATCGATTAGTTAGTTCAACTCAAGGGCTTATATACCGGGTTATTTTTCTCTTCAAGTTCTGATGTGGGATACTCTTAACAATTCCAAAGCACAAGCATGGCACAAGACGAAAGTTACAAACTATGAAAGACTAGTAAACCTTCTTCCACAAAATCCCCACTGAAACTGCAGCATACTTGACAAGTGTGTTCGTGTAAGGAATCCACCACTCATTACCAGAACATAGCAGTAGGCCAGTAGCAATAGAAGTACTTGAATTTATAATTTTGTGTGTGCACACACATACTCACATATCTTAAATAGACACACCACATCTACAGATAAACTGTATTGTCTGGGAAAAAAATGAAGGAGCATGTATATGTTCCTAACCACAATCAAGAGCTTCTATATTCAATTGCATAGCCGGACTAATGATCTTCCATCGTTAACAACGGTATTCAATGTGTAACTACATAGATGCAACTGCTCAATCTGATGTGATAGGGCAATTGTCTTTAACCAATCTATTATTAAATGAAGGTGAAATATTGAAGGACCAACTTCTCATCGATGAATACTATAAATGCACCTATTTCAGTTGTTTCCCGTCATAATCAGATTTTCTTCTTAGATACTCAAATATGTGCCAGAAAGTGAGCAATAATACCTGTCGGCCCTGTATAAAATGACAGCTGCCTGCAGCATAAGGTAGTGAGAAGGTAAATGAGAACAGTGAAGAAACCAACCCAAACAGAGTAGAGTGAGAAGTAAAAGTTAAACTGTTCTCTGTTGTATGAACATACTCGGTAGCATATCCTAGGCGCTCAGCTAAAGGTGCAATGCCCAACAAGCTGAAAAAAAATACCCATGCCTACAATAGAAGAGACCACCACAAATAGAAAGCCATTGATTTTGCATGTTAATTTATGTCCTAATGCAATTAGAAAATACTTAGTAGGACATGCCAAAAAGAAAACTCACATGCTTCCCAGTAACATAGTGCAGCAATATTGCTAGCGGGCCAAAAGGAAGCAACACATTGATCTTCGCTTTTATTAGAATAATGTAAATGCTTCTGAGAGCAGTATTCCGACGCATCATTCTCAAGAATCTTGAAGATGAAAAGGCTCTAGTCAATAGAATGTGATTATGAGGCACTTCACAATGCAAACTTTGTATTTTAGTTGTTCTCTGAGATGATCTTAGAGGGATCTCATCAGATTCAAGATCAACACTATCCTCTCCAGATCGCATCTTAATCCTCTCGTATCAACAAACATCCAATGTCAAGTATGCAGAGAGCTTCAGCAGTGACAAATGACAGAGCAAGCTTCAATCAGTAGATAACCTAACCACCTTCTTCTTGGGTAAATATGTAGATTCTGCTTTTACCAATAGAGAGGGGTAAACCCCGAGAAGAAACTATCTCACATAAAATTGCAGACTTCGAGCTCAACCGATCTTGTCACTCCAACTGGCAAAAATGAATATAGTTTAAAATCGTTCATTGGAAGCTAGGCAAAACAATCAAATAATAAATACAGTAAATAGAGCCAAATCTGCAATCACAAATTCTTCCAAACCAACAATGTAAAAATTCGCTCATCACTCTACAAGAGTGTTACAATAAACCTCTAAATCCATCAACCAGGCAGAGTAAACCCAAATGATCAGATCAGAGTTCATTATAACGAATCAAAATACAGCAAAAAATCAAACAAAATCCAAAACTCATCAGATTATCAGAAAGGACAGTTTTTTACCGGGTCAAATGATGATTCCACAGCCCCAAGTGGTTCGAAGTTTCGGAATCGCGAGTGTCAAAAATATTCAGCGCCGAGAAAGAACAAGTTGCTGGAGATGTGTGTCCAATAAATGCATGATCTTCGTATGCGAGTTCGTATGTGTAGCTGAATCAAGGGTTAGTTTTGAACTTGGTGAGAGTGGACAGAAAGAGAAGCGCCGTCGAGCCTCGAGAATGAAGATGCCGGCATGTAGCGAGGAAAGAAAAGGACATGCAGAGAGGAAATCTGGAAGAAGACGAAGCTTCCGGGAAGCATCACCTGCGTGTAATGTGTCGACAGATTAAGGCGCTCGATGACCCCAACTCTATTGGTTTGTCAATTTCTATTGACGGCCTATTTTACCAAACCAACAAGTACTTCTCTCCCAATTAGGGCAATTACTAGTTTTTTAAAATAGAAAATGTTAGGGTGCCACTACATGAGTGCTACCATGGGTGCATCTATGCTTCGCACAGATAAATACAGACGATAATTGTCTGTGTCGCACAGACAATTATCGTCTGCGTTTGTCTGTGTGAAGCATGGGTGCACCCATGGTAGCACCTGTGTGGTGGCACCCTAACATGACCCTTTTAAAATTCAAGTAATTTAATAACTTGTCCAAAACTTAAAGAAAATTAGTATGGAATATAAATTAACTAGTATTTTAATCGTGCGATGCGATGCACGAGGTCAAACGAAATTTTCTCCAGTCCTGTAAATTATCTTCAATGTAATATTTTTAAATAGAGCTTGATGCCTACTGGATTATCAATTAATCTGAAGAAATCTCAACTGATGGTAGCGGGAGTGAGTCAAAAAGAAAGGCAGAAGCTCATTACCCTTACAAGAATCACAGAGGGGAGAATGTCGTTCGCCTATGCCATTCGCCTATTTGGGATGCCCAATTACTGCAGGAAGACTATCTACATCAGATTGTAATACTCTTGTTGAGAAGATAACATCAAGAATAACATCATGGAAGAGAAATCATTTATTCTATGCATGAAGGGCAAGACTTATTCAATAAGTTCTTTATGGGATTATTAACTTCTGGGCAAGAATCTTTGTTATCCCAGGGAGAGTCATGAAAAAGATTCAAAGCCCGGCAAGGAATTACCTATGGGGCTCGGTGGAATATTTTAAGAAAGTTCCATTGGTAAAGTGGGAGGAGACATGCAAACCTAAGGCATATGGAGGATTGGGGCTGCATAACATCCACTTTTGGAATAAGGCTATGATCATGAATCTTAATTGGGACATAGCAAGGAAAAAGGACAACTTATGGGTCAGGTGGATGCACAACAGATACATTAGGAGAGGCTTTTTGGGATTACAAGCTGAAATCTGACTCCTGCAACTATTGGAGGAAGATGCTGAATATAAGGAAGGAGTTTGAAGGAATGCCATCATATGAAGAATACACACCTAAGAGGGGTTATAAATGGATAATGGGACAGGCAAATAAAGCAGCATGGGCAGGCCTGGTTTGGAACAGATTAACCATCCCAAAACACCAGTTTATATTATGGTCAATCTTGAGGGATAGGCTCCAGACCAAAGTGAGATTAAATAAGTTCCTTACAATAAGCACAAACTGTATGTTATGTGAACGGGGGATTGAAGATGGCAACCACTTGTTTTGGGGATGTCCTTTCTACAAAGACATTTTCAATAAAACACTTGGTATGACAGGATGTACACTCCATGCAGACAATCTCAAAGAATTCTGCACAAATATGAGCAAACTAGGGATTGCAATTTGGGCTGCTATATGCTATGTGGTCTGGAGATCTAGAGATAGGAAGCTACACCGGAAGATGAATACCACTGTGGATGAGGCAGTAGAGTATGTTAGATTCTATACCAAGTGCTATTTTGAGAAAAAAGCTGAGTATTCCCTCTTACAATGTATGAGGTTATAATCCTTAGTAGATGGATGGAGTAGGCTGGTGATATGTAAGTGTATAACTGTTTCCTTTGGTTTTTTAATAGAATATGTGATGTGTTGCAAAAACAAATATTTTTAAATGAAATTGTGAAAATATATGTAATTTGCTTTTTAACACTCTAAATGCTAAAATCAATGTAAAATAAATAATTTAGCATTTAAAATTTAGTAATGATCATTCTTAGATTTGAATTCAGAAGCGAATACTTCCAAGTGTTTTTAAATCTATATTTTTTAAAGTTCTCGAGGTATACCATATTTTTTGTGTGGTTACAATAATTTTCATTATCATCGAAAATTAATATTTTTAATCAAGTCTTGTTCACTCATGAAATGACAACATAAAGTTGACATCAGTGAACACCGAGTTGGTTAAAAGAAATTCAACAAATGTCAATATAATGTTTGACATTGACATTTGTTAACAGTCATAGCAAAACATGAAATTATTGGGAATTGTCTTCTTTATAACTTTAAGGGTAGTTTTGGATCAGATGATACAAAATTCATTATAGGTATAAACTTATTCCACGACTTGGTTCCCTAAAATCATAATTGCACCTTTAAAGCTATTTCACGGCTCTTCAATGATTAATCTTGTCTCATTACATAATCTATATGTTTGACCAGTGGGTCACCCATCCTAGAATTCCTTCAACTCAAGCACGCTTAACTTTCGAGTTTTTAAGTTAGGAGCTTTCGAAAAAAAGATGCACCTAACTGATATAAGTAATACTATCAATTGTTTTGAGCTCTTCTAATTCCCATCTTAACACGGGGCATTACATTCACCCCACCTAGGAATGCAAAGTCCTTTTTGCATCCAATTTTTTCAAATCCCTAGATCTTCCCCCCTATGTGAACTTAAGTTTTTTGGCATGTCACAATCGTAGGGTTACTCCAATATCATTTGTTACGGCTCGGCCCCCACTCCGTACATGTCGAGCACTCAGTTAGCGCCAAATGGATTGAGAATCTCGAGTGTGATGTTCTTCTACCAGGCAGTAGTAATGTTGCAATGTAACACGATGCAACATTCAAAACAATCTTACTATTTGATCTTATAAAAGCAGATAATGATTTCTCGAGGAATGTTTTTCTAGTTCCCTATAACCTTATACACAAAAAAGAAATCTCCTCTTTCAACTGTCACAACTTCCATTATTTTTTTGTATATTTTCCTCTGGTCTTCACTTGTTTTAGGTAAATATCATCTAAGATCACATGATAACGTTTCTTTATCATAGTTCAACTCTTCTACCAGAATTATTTTGAAACTAATTAAGTGGGTTGTCACCCGAAAATGACATACCACTGAACTCCTTTAATGATCCTCTATTTGAATTACGTAATTTTTTCAATCTCAATGAAACACAAACTCTTTAGATCTTTTAGGTAATAAGAAGTTTTGCAAAAAATGGTTAAAATCAGACTAAAATATTTCAACCCTGATTTCAATTCTAGAGTTTTGTATATGTACCATGCATTTCAAATTAATCTTTATGTAAATAAGAAAAAATATTTTTTTATAGAAGAATCTTGATTACACAATATTCTTCTCCGGTAAAAAAATCTCATCAACCAAGATCTCTAATGATTTTTCCCAAACAACTTGAAGTTGACTCATGGTATTTGTCACTAATACTATGACAAACAACTCTTTTAGCTGACTCTATGTTCTGTTAGTTCCATATTGTGTTGGCATTATTTTTTGACAAACGAATAGATTTACCTAGAATTATTTTAGATGTTTTATTTAGACTTAGAGTCCTAGCATGTGAAGGAAGAGAAAGAGGAAAGAGCTTGAAGAGAGAATTTTAATCCTACTTGGTTTGCTATTCTTAAGGAGGAAGACATGGTTGAGACTCCTAAGCACACTCTAACAAGGCTATTCTATTCTATATAATATCTTCACCCTCCCTTAGGGTTTTGTGCGTGCAAAACTACGTAAAACCTTAAGCAAATCCGATCAAAAGAAAAACAAGGTGCAGAGTTTGACAGTGCAAAGTTTCTGGACAGCCCGCACAGATTTGATCATCGCCAGAGATCCGACCGTTGGATTTTGCTGCAATTTTAAGAGAGTGTTCCCAACACATAGGGCTTCAAAGTGTTTAAATTTCACGTCAATCGGATTTACGGATCTTCTGTTATCAAAGTTACAATCTACACATTGTTGCTGATTTTTTGCAGAAAATGCAGTTCTGGTTTTGTTGATGATCGGAGTACCAAATCTTGTCCGATCGGAATCTACGTCCTTGAAGAAGATCTTTGAGAAGGTTTAACAAGCCGTGGAGATAGACGCAAACCGAGTTTGTCGTCAAGTCATTCGTAAGTAGACAAATCAATACATTAGAAGGTTCTGTTGTGATTGATTGTATAATTCTTACGGTGATTTAGTGGAAAGGCTATTACACGGACGTGGGCCTTGCAGACGTAGGAGAATTTGCTCCGAACTGCGTGAACAATTCTGGTGTCTTGCTTGCTGTTTTTTACTTTATATTCTACGTGTGTGCTTGTGACAGAGAAGGTGTTATAGCACTCTGTCAGTCATCTGTTACTGTGATAGTGCTGCAACATCTTCTCTACAGCATAGCTGGTTGATTTGTTTGCATAGCTCTTAATTGGTGATTTCCGCTGCGCCCCCACGAACTTACATGTTCTAGCTCAACAACCTCTCGTATACCTTCAATTAATTCTTTTATCAATGATTTGCATGCATCTCCGAATGAGTTATGTACAACATTGTTAACTATCATCAAGCTTTAAAAACATGTACATCCTCATTTGAGCATTAAAAGTATTCTCAAGTAGGATATCTTTTTTGTTTCTATTGCCACATATTCTAGGCGCACCTTTTTATGTCGTTCTTTTTTGTAAAAGTTTTCTTTATATATATCCTTTCCCTTGCATCTCTAGCCTATCTCGTCTATCTCTTGTCAAGTTGCTTTTCCATGGTTCTAAATGTTTTGAAAAAATTAGATGCTTCTAGCAACAATACGTTAAAAAACCAAAATATGAAGTTTAAATGTTGATTGTGTCCTTTTTATCATAATATTAAGCATCTTTGAACACGTATCTATTTAAACTTGAGTGGGGGTAGTGGATGGCACATTTTACGAATCATACCTAAATATTTTGTAATAGGATTTGAGGGGTATAATTTATTTTCTATTAAAATGACTCTAAAATTGGGTAATTTAACTAAAGAAGGCAAGTGATATTGCAAATTACTATATTTAATATTTTATTAAATTTATAATAATTAGCATTCAAAAAAAGGAAAAATAATATCACAAATTACTGTATTTAATGTCTTATTAAAATTATAAGATTTAGCTTTTAAAAAAACCATATTCTCTAATATGTTCATATAATCTCAAAAACTTTTTAACAACTTCTAGAGTGAATGTTAATAAATCTCTAATTTTTACTCTTTAATAAAATTATAAGGTCAATTTTTCTTTTTTTCTTTTTTATATTTTTGTTTAAAGATTCTAATGAAATTAAAGGGTAATGTTATTTTGGTTTTAATTTTTTTAAATAATATTTACATTGGTTTTATATTTTGTATTTAATTTATATTTGTATTTTATATTAATTATTTATGGGGAAAGTCTATAAAAAGTACGTAAATGCTTAATATATTAGTCCTAAAAAGTAATATGTTAAAAGGGAAAAAAAGTTAAAAATAGAAAAAATAATGCTTCTTTGGAATAAAACCACTAACATAAATATAAAATTAATAAAATTCATTCAGAGAAGTATATGCATTACTAATTATTCCATAAAAATAAATGATTCATAATCAAATTTTTATACAAAAATATTATTCTAAATCTAAAAATATGAAGGGTTTCATACCATATATACATATATAATGAATTACTACATATATAATTATATAATGAATTTAAATATAAAAATTAGACTATAATATCCGAATAAAGTAAAGGATTTTTATTCATTATAAAGTTGATAAAAATGATTAAAAAATAACATGCATTTAAAAAATGAACGCCAACCATTCTTTTTTCAAGAATTTTTGAAATTAAATACAAACATGCAAATAAAAGTATAAAATTAAATTCAAAATAACACTTTTACAATGAAATCTACAAGAAAATTGAAATATTTAAAGAAATGACTTCCGGATTACGTCGAGAAGTCATTTTATTTGGATATTTGAAGAAGAAGTGTCAAAGTTTTGGAGTTGTTGTGTCGCTCCCCCCCCCCCCCCGCTCTTTTTTCGGGAGAGGCTTCTTCCCATTGGTTCTGTTTCAGAAATATACATAGAGGAGGAGTTGTTGTTATACTGTTGTTGAAGTGGGTTTGATGGCCGAATGTTGTAACATTTGTTTTGAAGAATTGAAGGCGTCATAAAAATATAGCAGATCCCTAGGACTTTCTTGGAGCAATTGTGAGGGAAAAAGTGCAAAACACGTGATGGTTTAGAGCGTCCTCTCACATCCCGAAGCTTTCTTTACATGAAGAAAGTTACAATCTGATCATTTGGGTTTATATTAAGTTACTAATAACTTAATATACCTTCCTAATTATTATTAAGAAGGTATATTAAGTTATTAGTATCTTGGATTATTTAGTTACCTTTTATGTTTAGGATTCTTTAGATTTGAAAACTTTATATGAATTCATCACTATGAAGTTATTAATCAATCAATAAACAAATCAAACCCTAATTCCCTTCCTCCCTCGGTTTGCCAATTCCCTCCTTCACCTCAATTCTTCTTCTTCTTCCTCGTCCCATATTCTCAAGAGCTCGAAGACGAAGATGCTCTGAGTCTTCCCTATTCGATACAAGTTCGTACGAGAAGAATGAGATCTTTAACGCCAAATAGATCGTGATATCCAGGTGATGAACCACAGCTAAATGCATGAGCAGCCAATCATGTTTCTCCTTGTGATCTTGGTGGAGATTTGAGCAAGGTTCGAGTTAGAAATCCTAGATTAGAAGTTTTTCATAACCATTTGGAGAAGTGTGTCTCATCATGTTGTTATGTACCGGTGTAACTTGCATTTATTGATTTAGGGGAGAGCTATTACACGGACATGTGCCCCACAAAGTAAGAGAGTTCCCCAACATGTGTAAACTTATCTAATGTTCTTCTTTCGCCAAATAGCTCCGTTACCCCCTGTGGTTTAGAAAATTGGCACCAATACCCCCTCTGTTTTCAAAACTTATTTCTAAAGTTCTCGTGGTTTCAAAACGTTGTACCCACACCCCCTATGATCATTTTCCGGCCATTTTCCGGCGAAAAGGGGGCATTGGCGCATAATTTTTAAACCATAGGGGGCATTCGTGCTCATTTCTTATTTTCGTTTATTATTCTTCCCTTTTTTTTTAAATATTTTCTATCTCTTTTTCCTTTTCCTAGATTTTTTAAAATATATTTTCAATTTTTTATAATGTTTCAAAAATTTTCAAATTCTTTGTGTTTGAAATGAAAATAAAAATAAAATAATTAACATATATTACATCTATCTCAAATTAAACATTTTCAGTCTTTGTTACTTAGAATATTTTTTTGAAAATTTCAAAAAAAAAAGAATAAAAAAATAAAAATATGAAAAAACGAAATGAAAAAAAATTAAAATACGCAAAAAAAGTCTTATACAAAAAAAAATTAGACACGCCTAATAAAGTCCATAGAATTAAGATGTCCAAAAAGGATATTCATTTTTGTTTTTGTTTTAATTTGTTTCTTATTTTATTCCTCATTTTTTTGAAGTTCTTAAAAAGAATTACTTTTTTTCAGAAAAAACAAAAATTCTTAATTTGAGAAAATACATATGCATTATATGTTATTTTTTCAAACAAAAATAGCTTTAAATTTTAAGAACATTATAAAAATAATTTTTAAAAAAACCTTTATTAATAAATGAAACAAAATAAGGAAAAAATGGAAAGAACAAAAAATATGCGAGAAATAAAAATCAGCACTGATACCCCCTATGGTTTAAAAAATATGCACCATTGCCCCCCTTCTTCGCCGGAAAAATGGTCGGAAAATGATCAGAGGGGGCATGGGTGCAACATTTTGAAACCACAGGGACTTTAGAAATGAGTTTTGAAAACAGAGGGGGTAGTGGTGCTTATTTTGCAAACCACAAGGGGTATCAGCGCTATTGGCCCGTTCTTCTTTCCCTTTTATAGTTACAACATTCCACCCATTAGACGCTGTAACACCCTCTCCTTCATTTGCTTCTATGTGTGTGCTAGTGACGTAAGAGTTATAGCACAATGTCTGTCATTTGTTACTGTGACAATTCTAGAACGGATTGCTTGATGGATGTATTTGCGTAGATTAACTTTGTTGGTGATTACTACTACCCCTACGAACTTTCATGGTCTTGGTTTGAGGAGATGTTTGTTGGAAACACATCTCAATCCACATTGGATGTGAATAGAAAATTGGATCTAAATTAATAGGTTCAACCTTAATCATTAGTATGAGACCTTTTGAAAGATGCGAAAATAAATTTGATGGGCTTGACCCATAGTGAACGATATCATAAAAATGCATGATATGGGTGAAGGTACGTGCGGTCCCAATACTCCGCCACTCTTTTTTCTTCTTCTCTCAACCCCTCCCCCTTTTTCTTCTTCTTTAACACCCCTTCTTTTTTCGAAGAATTTATGGAAAAGGGCAGAAAAAGGTTGGAATTTATGAGAATGCCCTCCTAGATCTAACAGAGATTCGCGTGAGGCGCGTCCGCTCTACTTGCGTAAAATGAGGGGAAATGAGAGAAAGGCCCTTCCAACCAAGAAACAAAACGTCACTGTTTATTACCGTTACTTCAAAATTAAACGGAAATATTAAAATTAACGACCAGCCATTAGGTTGCCTTCGAAGCGTCACAATGATTTTTAGAAAGGCCAAACGACGTCGTTTGAAGCGCCAACCCCTCCTTAATCCCCCGACCAGTCTTCGGAAACGATACGCCTTCATCAATCGAAACTCTTCTGCTCTTCGTTCTACATTGCTTACCGTC